GTATACATATGTAAATATTTTATTAACAACCACTTATGATCTTGAATAGATTGTGACTAAAAAAGAATTTAGAACAGAAGAGAATTTAGGATTAACACATTCTGCCTCATATGAATACTGTTAAATCTCTAAGGAATTACTTTATGCTTCTCAAATTAGAATGAGTACTACCCTACAGAAAATTTTTAAATGCTTTTAAGTAACTAACAATATTTAACTTGTTTAGCTGTGTCTATACTTTCTGTGTCTAATGTTTCTTTTCGTTCAGGAAGCTATTTAATCAACTCTCTACAACAGAGTTAAGATGGTAGAGACAAGGGAATTTTTTTCTTGAGATAATTCTGTCTCAGAACTAGAAATAGATTTATAATTCCTTTTCAGAACTAGAAATAGATTAACTGTCATGTTGTAGAATGTGTATGTGTATGCAAAAATAGTAAAAAAAAAAAAAAAAAAAAAACCCTTAGTTTTTGCTGTCGTAAACCAATTAAAAATTTTACATGATTTCTCTAAATCAACAGATTGCAGATATATCCTTATTTTAGCTTATATAAGTTAGTGTATGTCATAAGGGTGCTATTGCTGGATTAACTGTAATATCAAGAGATAAGATAATTAGACTGTATCCAAATAGAATATTATATAGCCATTAAAAGTTGTTATAAAGACACTTTAATGACATCTGAGTGACAATTTACACTATGATATAATTGAGAAAAAAATTATAAATTTTGTCATCTTAAGAATTTAAAAATATGTAGAAAAATTCAGTATGTTAATACTAGTCATAAATGGGTAAAATGTGGGTGATTTCTTCCCATAGTTCTTCATATGTTCAAAATTTTAACATGAACGTATTTGTCATATGTGTGTGCACATGGGCATGCACTGGGGACTTCTGTGTACCAGTCTCTTGATTTTTTATTTCCTTGCTCCCTTATTATTGTGCTACCCCACAAGACCACCTTTTCTATCTCTCATTCTTCTGGCAAAGGCAAGCTGGCTCAGTGCTGAAAAGGCTTATAAAGGCGGCGTATTAGTCCCATTGCCAAAGTTTGTTAGGTGGCTGAAAGATAGTGAAAATCGTTTATCACACCTGCTTAGGCAGAGCGCAGAGGTTGGGGTTCAATCCCCGGCAGCCTGCTGTGCTGGCCCCGCCCTCAGGGCACACTGAGAGGGCTATTGAGACTGGGCACGATGACCCGTGCCTGTTATCCCAGGGCTTGGAAAGTTGAAAACAGAAGAATCACTCCAAGTCCAGTGTAGACCCTACACTAAATACAAAAAACAAAACAGACAAAAAAACAAAGTTCTGTTGTAATCATTTAAGCAACTAGAAATTTTCATTTTTATACTGGCCAAAATAATATAGGACACATTGATAATTTCTTTTAAAATATTAGTCCTCTCACAGAATATTCTGTGAGAATATTCCACAGGTAGGTAATCATATCCATAGTAATTAGTAGCAAGAATTTTTTTTTTTTTTTTTTTTTTTTTTTTTTTTTTTTAGCAGAACCAGGGATTGAACTCAGGCTCTTGCACTTGCCAGGGAAGCGCTTATTCCACTGAGCCATCTCCCCGGCCCCAAGAAAATTTAAAATGTGAAAATTAGTCAAAGAAATGGTCAGAACTTGTGTTTTTTGAATTGCTAAGATTTGAATCCTAATTTATTTTAAAACTTTCTTCTAAGCCAGGTTATAGTTGAATTCCTTTTGAGTAATCTCTTAGCAATATTCAGTAACTTAAATCTGTTGCATATGTATTAGCCTGGGTTTTCCAGAGAAACAGAATCAGTAGGGATGCGCACATACACATCTTTATAAAGAGATAATTATAAAGAATTGGCTTTTCTGGTTATGGAGGTTGAGTGATCCCCAGCTCTGCTTTTGGCAAGAATGCTGACTGACCCAAGAGAGCTGGTAGTATAGTTCCAGCTAGAAGCTGAAGACCTTAGAAACAGGAAAGCCAAACTGATTAGTGTAAGTTTCAGTTTGAGTCTGAAGGAAGAGATAGGCAGAGATATGAAGTATCTCCTAGCTTTTCTGTCCTAGTCTATAGCTTTAATAGACTGCAGAGGCCGTCCAACCTCAGAAGGGCAGTAGTCTACTGGCTCAAATATCTCATCCACATGTACCCTCATGGACACGACCTGAGTAGTGTTTAGTCAAACATCTAGGTATTGCCTGCCCGAATCAACACAAAATTAATGATCACATGTCCACCTGTTTCAGCTTGGTCTCAATACTTGATTTCCAAATAAATACAATAGTCAGATCATAATTCTACTTAATTTGTTAGTTGGCCTGCATACAACAGGTAATGTACTGTCCTCCAGAAAAGGTGGCAAAAACCTTGGATGATAGAGTTTCTTCTTGACATTTTGTAACTTAAATATCGTGCTGTAAAACTAACATAGTTAAATATTTATGACATAATATATAACATTAAATATGTCAATTATAGTATACCATGTTGCATGATAAAACATACTTACATATTAAATATTATAATTTTATTAAATATTTAATATGATACAATAATGTTAAATATTAAATATCATGGCAGTCATTACCAGTACATCTCATGTTGCTTGATAAAGCCATAAAGGAGGGAAGAAAACTGAAACATTTACATACAAATCTATTCTTCCCCGCCCCCCCAGGCCCTTGCACTTGCCAGGGAAGCACTTATTCCACTGAGCCATCTCCCCAGCCCCTACGTACAAATATATTCATAACAAAATAAGGCCGACATTGTCATAGCAGTGCAGCTCTTATTTGTAACTAGCTTCTTTCACTCCCCAGTCCACAGTGTTTACCTTGAGCAAGCACCACAGCTGACTGTGGTTCTGCTGGCTGTAGTGACCCAGACCTTCATTCCTAAAGTGTCTGGACCTGAAGAAGTCCTGCATAGATAGAGTCGGTATAGTTTCCCACTGGCCCACTCACACAGAAAAGCTGAACAGTTCTACAAGTGGAAGTGTTTACCACTAACACTCACTTGTTAGTTGGTGTTTTGTGAGATCATGTGACTAGAAGACCAAGTTTTATAGAATATTCTTAGTAAATTTGTTTCACCTACTTGTCACTTGTCATCACAGAGATATTTGAAGAAAAAGGGAAGCTCATGTTTGATTCTGGACACTTGTAGGAGCTACTCAGCCTCCACATTTACTGTGTATTAGCAGATGATCGCCTCTCAAAGGTCATTTCATGTTCATATCCCCACCTCATATCCAGGTCATCTACAGCTGGAATCTGTCTGAACCAACTGCTAAATAGATTTAATGCTCAAAGGCCCTAGACTAAGCAGTACTGGTAACCATTGTTTTACCTCATAAAATTTGAGCATGAAAGACTTATAAATCATGTGCATCACTATGGTGGGTCCCTGGAGCAAATGAGACCCTTTTGTTCAGGTGGTCTTATTCTTGTCCATTTCAGGCATACTGCCCAAAGTTTCCATAGATGATCTCCACTGTCGGTTTCAGATGTGTCACTTGGAACTGTTATCTTGTGTTTTTGTGTTAGTGCGCAGTTGGGATCATGGATCTTTTCCTTCACCTCCCTTCTTCTTTCTTTAGTGACCAGGGGGGGAAAAAGTTCTATTTAAATATCATCATCAAGATAAACAATATAGCTCAGTGTACTATGCACCTGCTTTGGCAAGTGCAGGTACCAAGGTTTGATCCCCCCCCAGGGCGTGATGAGCCAGTGACCGAGTCTGGGTGTGGTGGCACATGCTTATAATCCCAGCACTCGGGAGGCTGAAAACAGGAGGACCACTATGAGTCTAAGCTGTGTAGTGAGACCTTATATGGAATACATAAAATGAAAAAATAAAAAATAAGCAACACAAACTGCTCATACCCCTACTTTATGCATGTGTTTATTAGGCTTTTGAATACAATTTGCTGAGGTGGTCTTTATATCAAACTTAGTATAGCTCCATATGTTATGTATATGAAAGCTGGAAACACATGTTTATAAAGCTTATAATTTTAATTTTTTAAATTTTCCTAAGGAAGAAGAGACAGATAATGAAGAAAACTTTATTGATCTGAACATTTTAAAGGCCCAGACCTATCGCTTGGTAAGTTTCATTGGCTGTACACAGGACCAACAAACAATGTAGTCAACTGGAAATTTAAATAAAACAGAAGATAATGTTAAATGCTATTTTATATATTATTTGAAAATAGCTCTGAAAATTGTTTCCCTACATATAAAATGTTGCAGTTTTAACAGTAATAAAGTCAAGAAGCAGCCTTCTCTATACCATTAGAATCAACACAGTGCTTCTCATGCAAACTGAAAATAATTAATTTATCTGATGGCTTTTTTATTATAGAAAAACATAAATTATTATTTCAAGTTATTTCCAATTAAAATAAGACAGGATTGAATGATCTTGTCTCCTCAGAAGATAAGTATGTAATATATTATTTGTCCTTAATTTTTCTTTTGTCTGAATCTTCAAGTTTGAATCTAGTTTTGACTCCTATCATCAAGACTTTCTTGGGGCTGGTGAGATGGGTCAGTGGTCTAAAGCACCTACTTAGAACAAGCTTAGCAAAGCACAGGGACCGCGGTTCAATCCCCCAGCCCCACATGCCAGCCAGCCCCGCCCTCTGGTGGGCTGAGCTGGCCACACACACATACACACACACATACATAAATAAAATTTTAAAAAAACTACGTTACCTCCTGAAAGCTTTAAAAAAAAAAAGACTTTCTTGACCACCCTACCTCAAAGTTATCATTTTATTTATTGTTTATTGGCTTAGTATTGGTAATTTTTATTGTTACTGGTGTGTGTATGTGTGTGTGCGTGCATGTGCGTGTATCCATTGACCAGCTTGAGATAAACCCTGACATTGTACTTATCTTGTCTAATGTATGCCTTCACTTTATTGCTTCCTAGGATTCTAATCTTGGGTAAATACCTTAATTTGTTGTGCCTCATCTTCTTTATCTATAAATGAAATGAAAATGTCATATGTTTCATAAGATTTTTTTAGATTAAAAGAGTTATTACATGTAAAGCATAACAATACCTGTCACGTACAAAATGTTCAGTGCATGTTAGCAAGAATTAACCCCACACCTTTCTAATGTTCCCCATCCAGTATGAGTTATAAGCTCCTTTGTAGTGGAGATAACTAGCCCTTTTTATGTTCCTCATAATGTAAAATACAGGGTATTGAATAAATACTTCTTAAATGAATGAGGGTGTTTTTATTCATTGAAAATTATAATAACAATGTTAACATTTAAATCAAACATATAAGCTCCAGTTATAATAGTATCTTACATTTGCAGATAATTCTGTAGTTTTTAAATTATTTTAAATACATTCTTTTACTGACTTGAGGTAACTAAGCAGATGTTATCTCCTTTTTATAAATTTAAACATTAAAATATATAACCTTTGAGACAGTTTAATATTATTTATTTATTCAAATTTTTTTAGAGAAGGGCTTGCTATGTAGTTCAAACTAGCTTGGAACTCACAGTGCAGCCCACATTGGCCATTTCACAATGGTCCTCTTGTCTCAGCCTCCCCAGTGCTGGGATTACGGGTGTGCTCCACTGCATCTGGCAGTTTAATCTTTGAGAAAGCTAGTAGATTTAGTATGTAAGTTTTAAATTTTTTCTAACAGGTCTCTTGTTTGTTTCTTTACATGATAACAGGAGTTCAACAAGGTGGATGTATAGCTTGATTCCTACCTTGAGTTTGTACACCTTAGTGTTGGTGCTCATGTAGTGCATGTGTTAAAGTATGACAAACAGGAAGAGACAGAGCCGGTTATTCTAAGAAGAAGCTATCGTTGTATTTAAATATGTTGATGATGGAGAAGTCTATGAAGCCCTTGGATTCCCCCTGTACAAAAAGTTTGACTGTTAGAAAGGATTAAAGTAATTTAATTTGTCATTACCATTTCCCCATTTCTGTTAGTCCTGATTTAATTGATTATCTCAGACTACTTAGGAAAAGATTTTCCTCCTACATGTGCCTTTTATCTTAAGTGTTAGATCCTCTTGACAAAAGTTATAGAGTATGATGGTACATTCTTTATTCTTAAAATTTTGTGTGGTTACATTTTCATAAGAGGGAGAAATTTGAACACCAGGTGTTTGTGGATGGTCAGCCATGAAGTACTAATGAAATAGGAAGCCCTTTCATATTTTAAAAACTCTGGCAGGTGTATAATATCGCCTGTGGAAGCCATCTGCCTGAGACAGCTGTTCTGACTCCAGCTTCTGATGGCTTGTGCCACTCTTTCCTCAAGACAGAGCTGTTGTGCAGGTTGGTAACTGAGACTGAAGATGCGCTGTGTCCTGCCACAGGTGGATCTGCAGATCAGGAGAAATGCCACTTTAGCAAAGTTGAGCATGATGAGGGTTTTCACTGGTGTGAGGATGATACTGTCCAGGAAACTGATGTAACTGTTTGAGTGACTATTCTAGCCCAGCAATGTATGATTGCAGAAATCCTTCCTTCCCTGGGCTTTGAAACAACAGATGCTTCTACAGTCATTCAGTTCATACCTTTTCACTTAGCTGTACTTTTGACAGACCCTGGTATATTATATTGTATATTAATTATTGATTTGTTTATAGTCTCAAACACTAGAATGTCATCTCTACAGCAGAAGCTTTTTTACTGCCTATTTTTCTCCTGTGCCTGGTGTGTAGAATCTACCCAATAATCATTACATATGTTTCTTAAATAGGGTCTCACTGTGTCCATAGGCTGGCCTTGAATTCACTGTGTAGCTCAGGCTGCCCTCAGACTCACTGCAGTCCCCCTGCCTCAACCTCCCAAATGCTGGGATTACAGGCAGGCATCATGACCCACCAGCTAATCAGTAATATTTCAAGTATGATATGTTCTAACACATTCTTAGAGACAAAACATAGTTTAGTCTTCACAAGAGAAAAGCCTTTTACGATGTTGTTTGTTCTGTGTATCACGTAGACTATAAAGGGAGAGATACACATACATTCCTTTCATCAAAGTGAATTCTAGACCTGAGAATTGTGCTTTGAAGTACCCTGATATTCTGAGAAGAGGGGATGCACAAGCATTTTTCTGAGATGAGGTGATTCGAAATTAGAGAAAATGTAAGCCAAAGACATGTCACAGGTTGTGTTCTCTGGAAGCAGAGGTGACAGAGTTTGGGGTTGGAGGTGTTTGTTAGAAGCAGATGCATATGAAAGAAAGGGGTAGAAACAGAATTGAGCAGAGGGAGAAGTCTGGTTCCTCTGCAGGCCCAAAAGAAAGACTTGGTCTTGTGTGGGGCTCTGGAGCAAGTATTTGCCTGACCACTTGGGCACTGGAGGCAGGCTCTGTGGGGCAGGGCACGTTTATAGGTGAAGTGGCTCTTGCGGGTGAGACGACCTCTGAGAGAGCTGACAGTAGGCTGTCTGCTGGCCACATCAACTGCAGCTAGGCAACAACTCCTTCCTTCCAGGAAGACCTAGTAACCTGTCCTCTGTAATACCACAGCATATCTAAAGCCTGATACTATGAATTTGAAGATGTGTAAAGAGATCCTGTCTACCTATTGACTAAACTTGTAAATGATTGCCTATGGAGATTGTGTCACGAGAGGAGTGACGTGAGCACTGAAGAAAGAGAAAGCTGTTCCTTCAATGATTCATGCTTTCAGTGGTGAAATTGCTTTGCTTGGGAAGTAGATGTGTTTCAGAACATTTATTTGGTTGGAGATTTAAAGCCATGTATTTAGGACCATTCTTACTACATGATTTTCCCCTGTAATTTCTTTAATTATTTTAACAAGCATAAAACTTTTCAGTAAACAACTGCAATTAATAATGGAGTATGTCATCATCCAAATTGTCATCTGTAGGTTGTTTGAATTTTGAGATAGTCTCTCTTAGAAGGAATGGCTCTTACACTGGAGAGGGAGCCCGCAAGTTCTACTTTTTCTGTATTTCTCTAATTATTGAATATCTTAAAATCTGGAATTTACGAAGTCACCCTTAGAGTGACTGGGGAGGACACTGATTCTGAATTAAAGTTCTTAACAGTTGTGGTGATTAGGGGTACAGGGCAGGGTTCAGAACTGCGGCGGGCCAAGCAAAGGAAGAGGATATGGTTGCAGAGCATCTGCCAGGTGTGCTGGTCATTTCTGTGTCTTTGTGAAGTGTGACATTCGTGAAGGCTGCCTGCGCTCTCCTGGTGGCTGCACTCTACATGGTCTTTGTAGCGTCCCTCTTCATTGTGAAGCCCAGCGGAGCCGAGTAACTGAGCTCTGGTAGCACAATACAGATGTGTCATTCTCTCCCAGTGAAAAAGGATGAGAGGGAGCTGTGTGCTCTCAGAATTCTATTTTTAAGTACCCATCACTTCATTTCAAAACAGTTCTTTCAAACATGCCACAGATACTATTCTTCCTTGAGATGCTAAATTTGAGGTTTTAGAAATGAAATCCTAAGCTATACAACATAAAACCAAATATCTCAAAAGGTTTAAACACAATTGGTTTTTAAGTACTTACCAAAAACTCGTACCAAGATTGAGAGACTTTTTGCTTAAAAAGCAGAAATTGAAAGGAAGTAACAATATGAACTTAGAATAAAAACATCATTTCAGTTTTAGAATGTCATCTAGGCACGTCTGCAGTATGGTAACCAAGTAAGGGAAGTGGGGGATCTGCTGTGGTTAATATCTGAAATACTTCAAATTTTCTGCACTTTAAATATGATTTACACCTTCCTTCTGGACAAAAATGTTCTTTCTGAGCCGTAAAATCTACAAAAACTGTTTCACAACATAGTTTGCTCCATAGATTGCTGTCAGTTCTTACTCTTGCTTGAGAAAAGTGCTTTTCTTTCTCTTTCTCTGAAATACTTGCCTGGTAGTTAGACTTCTAGTCTGAGTTCTGAGAGTCCAGGGTCCCAGGAGAAATTATTAAAATGTCTCACATCTGAGTGTGACAGAACACATTATAACTGAGCAAATACCTTTATTTCTCTGTAACTAACCTGCACCACCTCCATCAGCTTTACATCTGGAGTTGAATAGGAAATGTGGGTTAGAAAAAAATACTGCTTCTCCATGCT